CAAAGTTGCTCCTTCTGTCTTTTCTCCCATTTTACAGTATTACTCAAATAAGGGCACACAGTGATATTAGGATTTAGCAAAAAAGCAGCTCTGCAGCAAAGTTAATTTTGTGATGGCTACAGTTAAAAAAAACACTTAGATTGACTCTTCTGCATGTTTATCATAGAGCAGAAAAGTGCTAACCATTTAGCCGCTTAGTGATGTAAGCAAGAAGCCTAAGAGATAAAGCCCCCACTGAGATGCCCTTCATGGCTCAGCTGGGAGCCACCGTGTCATCACACGACACACAAGAGTTGAAGCGGCTGCTCCAACTCACTGCTCACCCTGTTCTGTGAGCAGAAAGAGAACTTAGCAAAATGCATGGTTTAACTTCCTCATCAGAACCTTCCTTCTGTTCTTTTGTGCTTTTGAATGAGTAATACAAATTTCCAGAAAATTAACATTTGAACTTAGCTGTGATTCTAAACTGACCTTTCCCCCATACTAATGTTTGAGTTCCACATGCGGCGTGTTTTCTGAAAGTTCCCACTTTCAAACGTGGAACATGCAGGTGATTCGGAGAGTGTAGGCAGATCTGAGAAAATGAGCCTGTTTCAGAGGATCGTCATCACAGCAAATACTTCTGGAAGCTTAACAAAACTAACCCAGCCGTCCTTTTTTTAAAAAAATAATATTTTTGTTTTAATTAATAGCAACATAGTTTATGGGTTTGGAGACTTGCATGAAAACATTTTAGCCCCCTCAAACGTTCCTGCAGTTTTGAAATCATCTTACAGACATAACCATAAAACTCTAGAGGGGTAGCTGAGCAGGCACCAGGACTGTCATTGACATGGATGTGACATTTCCAAACAGTGACAAGTTGAACCCCTTGTAACATAGTAGTTGTCTGCTCTTTGTCCATGTGTTAAAGAGGTCCACCGAGTTCCTTCTCTTGTGGTTCTTAGGACTATTCCTCAAGAGCTTATCTGGATCTCTAGGGGGAGTGGGGAGGCCACCATCCTCAAAGGCAGAACCGGGTTTCCATGTAGTGCTTACCTGAGATGCAGGATCACCTACTTACTGTATTCTATCTACATTGTTATATTACACAGTAGAATGAGATATCAAAAGTGAACATGTAATGACAGTACATATTAACATTCTCGTAGCAGTGGTTAGAGAAACTGATGCCTCATTTCTACATTTTGTCATTAGCTATTATCATCTGATGTTTCAGTGTATTCTTACAGAAATAAAGCAGCATATAAATAACTTGCCTCCTGTCTTTTAATTCTGCCTGGTGGAATGCTATACGGTGATAAATGCTACTGACCCAGAAACATGAATGGCTTGTTTTCTTACAAGGACATACTCAGTTGATTGTGATTGTATGGAACACAGGAATTAACACACAAGACAAAACAAACAAACCTATAACAGCACTCGGATCCAATTAAAACAACCTGTTCTGACCTAAGATAGCATTTCACAGATGCTCCCATGCCTTAAAAAGGGCAAATTGATTGTCTTTGGCCAGCACGGTGAGGGGTGGGAAGGGAACTGAGGCTGAAGCATGTCCATGAGAAATCATCATGGCCTCTGTTTTGTTGGCTGTCCTTTCCCAGTGCCTTCTGGAGCCCCAGACCCCAGATGAACACTGCTGTCCTCAAGTGCCACTCTCTGCCGTCAGACCTTCGGGAGAACCTCACTCCCCCTTGTGGACGGTGCCTATTTGGGAAGCTGCTCGTTTGAGCCCAAGGAGTTCAGTTAGGGGCGGGGGGCATGGGGTTGGGGTGTGCAGAGGTCACCGCTTCTAGATCATCACCACACACCTCTGAGTGTCATGTTCTTGAGCCATTTAACACACCCCCACATGGTCGTTACAGGATGGCACTGGAGGCCCAAACAGGTGTCTGCTGTGCTTTCACGATGGAAGGGTCACCAGGCTATACGGGCACCTGGTCAAACTACATTTCAGCTAAAGGAGGAGTTGGGAGGGAGAGGGTGGTGGATTTTTGATGAGCCCCAGGGCCAGGGTAATAAAAGCAAAGGGCAGAACCCCTTGGGGGCTAATATTACTGTGTTAGGAGGAAATCAAAACCTGTCAGTAAGAAGCCATGAGCGTTTTTTTGAATGGGGAACATTCCCTTGTGTTTACCTAGATAAATTAGCAGTTAAAACCCTTAAAACAATGAAAAGAGTATCTGGTCATCTTTTGGGGCCCCAAGGAAGCGGGTGGGGTGGGGAATTAAGATGTCACCCCTCTGCTTCCTGAGACTGCAGCAAGGGACAGACCCAGAGGAGACAAGCCTGGGATAGAGAGGGGCCAGTCCCGCCTTCACTCAAGACGGGCAACAGCTTATGCTCTTTTCCTTAGGAAGAGACCACGATACATCTCCAATGCCCTCCCACCTGTGCTTGCTCCACTTCAGTAAACCCTGAACCTTTCAGCATCCAGACTCACCGGTCTCCTAACCACGCATCTTTCCGTTCCTGGTCCTCCTATTTATTGTCATTGAGCTCATTCTTTGCCCTCCAGTCCACTGACTGCTCCAGTTTCTTCTCTCAGCCTTTTCCCACCCTTTCTTCTCTCTTTATCTGCCCTAGATGCTATGCTCTATCACTTCGACCATTTTTATCCCTCCTTCAATCCTATTATCTTTTTCCCTTCCTATTCCATTTGGCCTGCAAAACCAGAGTCCACACCAGAGCCAATGAGCTCTGCTGAGAAAAAGACACACAATCACAGACTGCGCCAACATTGCAGGAACTCCTGCTGGGCCCTCAACCCCATGTCACCACTCCACCACTTCATATTTCCAACTGACTGTCCCCACCACCACCTTTGCCCAAGAAACAGGCCCATGGGAGTCAGCCTCTAGCTATTGTTTGCCACACAATGCCCACTTTTAACACCTGAGCATTTTGAGAAGTGCCTCACATACATTATGTTGGATCCTCAGTCAGCACTGGCACTCTTGCCTCCATCTTCCAGATGAGAAAATGAATTCAGAAATTAGGAGGTTTGCCTAAATTCACACAACTAGTAACGAATCACCACCCTGGACCTATCACTCATGATGCTGCATTGCCATAGAAACGATGAACCCCCTTAGGGCATGGGCAGTGTCTGACGCATCTCAGTGAGGAAACTATCATGCACAGTGCTCAGTACTTAATTTTAAGTGTGATGACCATAAGACTCAGGAGGAAGAAGGGGAAACTTTAGTTACGAAACTTTCAGCAGAAAAAAAACTTTTTTCTCTCATAATTAAGGGGAGCAGGATATCAAGAACGTATCTACTTGTGGTTAATAGAGTGGGTTTTAGAGCCCAACTATCGGGGTTCAAATCCTGGCTGCTCTGCCGTTTTGTAGTTAGAGATCTTACGTAACCTCTCTGAGGCTTTTTTTCCTCGCCTGTAAAAGGAGACTTAGAATTCCTCCTATCTTGAAGAATCATATGTACATTGTATGGTAATACAAGTGCTTAGCAGGGTGACTGACAGTAAAAGCACTAAATAAACTTTAGCAATTATTTTATCCTCATCAACAGAACAGTATATTAACTATCAAGCAAACCACAGGACACTCCCTGAGCAGTATGGTATGTTGGCTTTAGAATCAGACAGACTTGGGTTTGAATATCAGCTCTGCCTCTTTCTAGTTGGGTGACCTTGAGCAAATACCCATCTCCATAAATCTCAGTGTCCTCCTAGGTAAAAATGAACATCCACATCTCATAGGATTCTTGTGAGGGTTTAAAGTGATGCCTATAAAGTATCTGGCATGTAGTATGTGTAAATGTTAACTACAGTTATTACAACACAGTTGGGCAAATTATTAGACACACCCTTCTGGAAACAGTGGAACTAGATTGGTGGGAAGACGAAGGGCAAGGCCTTTCTGGGCTTCAACAAACTTGGCCTGTTGGGGTGGGGGGCATTGAACATGACACAGGGAATTGACCCAATGAAATGTGACAGTCTGCCTCCAGGCTTTTGATTCTTGGCACTAGCTGCAGTTTTATACCTCGAGTCCTGATCCTCTGGCTCTCACCACAGTGAGTGATTCCTCAGAACCAAAGGGCCCTCAGAGATTGTAATTGTAGTGTAGCCCCATCCCTTGCTTGCCAGATAAGAGGGATCAGAGGGGCCATAATGTACAGTCATACCCAAGCTCACAGCCCCCTCGGCTAAGGTTCAGGTCCTTAGATCCCTGTCTAGTGTCCCTTACAATATCCTATATTGCATTTTGTGGTTGTCAGGGATTGGAGTCTTTAAAAGGCTTCATTCCACACGGTGTTCATGACATAAGTGGAGGAAATGTGCTCATCCTCAGAATCCATTGTTTAAGGCCAGGGACCTGTTTCTCATGGGAGAGGACACCAAGAGGCTATCCAGAAAGGAAGGGAAACTGAAGGTGACCAAGTATACCAGTCCAGGGCAAGAGGGGGAAACTAGGTCAGTGCCCATCACTTTGTAGCTGTAAACAGGGTGCTCTGACCAAGTTTCAGGTTGTGTGTGAGCCAGGGGATATCCTTGTTCAACAGCTCCAAGGAAAGGACTAACAGAATGCTATGCCACCTTTCTCATAAGCACCAGACCCCAAAGACTGAAGATAAATGACCTCACCTTATCAAAAATAACTAGTGGAATAGAACATTTCAAGATTGGAAACTAAACATTCTCAGGTAGATCAGAACATTTGTTTTGTCATGCACAGTAATAGTGATGTGATGAAGAGATGTGTCTATAACGGAACACAATTACTACCTGAGCACACACTCAGACTAAAAAGCAACTGTGTTATCCTCATTCATGGCAAGCACCAAATGTGAGGTTTAAAGGGGCTAGGGGAGGGGGAGTGGGGAATGATTACTCAAAAGGTCTGAGGTTTCTTTGTAGGGTGATGAAAATATTCTGGAACTAAATAGTGGTGATGGTTGCACAACACTGTGAAGGTACTAAATGCCATTCAATGGTGACTTATGTGAATTTCACCACAGTAAAGATACTTTAATCACTGGTCTCAAGTATAAGTCAGAGCTGTCAGGTGGAAGAGTAACATGCACTTAAATAGGTACAGGAAGACCGGAGTTTGGAAATTCACATCTTAATGTCCCAAAAGTGGAACTCTGCCAAATCACCAACGAGCTGAAGTGAGGCATCAGAGGATTCCATTACTATTTATTGAACTTGCCACTTGCCTGTGTTCACAGCTTTGTTAACAATTGCTGTTACCTTTATACTACCACATTTCTGTTAGTATAATAAAAAGAAAACTTGGCTTTACCTGAAAAGTTTATTTCACAGAGCACACATTTATATGGAGGTGTAACAGAGTATTTCAACACATGACATTTGTGTAGAAAAACATCAAAAATATCATTAGGATGATTGTCTGTGCCTTCTGTATAAAATAACTAGTATATAAAAATAGTTTTAAATCTAAGGCACCAAGCTCTAATCTGTAACAAAGGTGCAGTACTCTGAATAGCAAAGAACTAGGGAATCAGAAAGAATAATCACTCCATTTAACTAATCCAACACTGGTGACTAGAAATGAACATGGGCCTACTTCAAACTATTTGTGGCTCATCAGAAAACTCACTAGCATTAAGACAGTAAGCATTCAAGTTTTAGTCAATGGTTTTAAGCAGGATTCGATGAATTACAGGAATATATATCATGCGTGCGTGTGTGTGCATGCGCACATATACGTATTTTTGTCTGTGTGTCTATCTATCACAGGGACTGAAGGATAACACTGCTCCTGTACTCGCAGCCAGTGGCTAGAGAAAGGTAAGCAAAATTTGGTTCTATATCCCAAGAGTGAGAGTATACTGAAAGGCAGGACTGTAGGGCACAAACAGAAAAAAAGATTACACGCAGTAAACATTTAGAGGATTTAACATACCCTACCACACAACGGCTAAATACTGTCTTATGTACACAATAAAAACAACACATTTTTGTAGATAAACCCCGATATGTACTTCAAAAGGAAATACTGACAAAAGCACAAAACATGCTAACTATTCCAAGATCACATTTTCTAGGACTCCCAGCATTTCAGGGTATCAGTGCTTGTGCACTCAGCTGCCAGACTATGGTAGAGTTAAAAATACACATACATAATGGTAAAATGTGCTTTACTATATTTTGCAACTTTCAGTACTGGTCTATTAGAAACGATCCCAAAAAGTTCTTGTGAGCAATCTTCAGTTCCTCGTATAACCCATTATATTCTCTACAAGAGCAAATTTGAGTTTTTAATTGCTAAATTAATGTATTTGTTAAATAGAATAAACACTAAGATTTCAAGTATGTATTGAGAAAAAATTATTCCTTCAGTAGAGATTGTTTTAGAAGCTCAAGGGTAACTATTTTATAAAAACACCCTTGATGCACACTCACACACATGGCAGGAAAACACAAGAATGAGAGATAATGGAGATTTTTTCAGGAAAAAAAACTCTTTACTCAGAACTCCTGCTTGTGGGCAAGACTCAAGATAATACAAGCATCTTCTGAGATCCATTATGATGACTTTTTGATGGTCATTTTTTGGTCTGGTTTAAGTCGGAGGCAGAGAAATTTAGGGAGATGGGCCTGGAAGTTGAAACCCAGAGCGGAGGAGAAATTCTCTTCTAGGCTGCACAAGTTTTACATATCTGACCAGAGGGAAAAAGAAAAGACAGAAGATTAGTAGAGAAGATGCTGGTCTCACAGTAACTGGGCCTTGGCCTACCTGCTGCGTGTCTGCCTTTGGGGTGGGCCCAAGACCCTTGGCAGTGCCCCATGGAGCTGCCGACACACTGGTGCTCTTATAAATGTTCCCCTACATCGCCAACCCCAAACGAACCCGCACTGCCTCTCAATTTCAAAGAGAGCTTCTCAGGTAAAGAAAAATTTTTAAAAAAAGGCCTTTTGGTTTTGGAAAGAGGTTGAGAGGCGAATCCCACAGACCTCACTAACTCTCTGCTCCAAATGATAATCTGTGTGCTATAAAAAGCAGCCAGTGGATCAGGAGCTCAGAGGAATCTAAGGGGTCTGGGGTGTGAAAAGAACCTATTTTGTATTATATGGCAGGAAATGCAAGACATAAAAAATGAGAATCAAGTCATTTACTCTCTCAAAACTACCTTGATGGAAGATGCTTCGACATCAACCTAGCTTTTAGACCCACCACTGTCTTCTCATCCCCATAATTACATGGTATCAAGATGGCCCTAGAATAGCAGGAAGCAGAGCAGGGGTTCAAGGTCAACTGCCCATCAAGCAAAGTGAAGATGGGATGAAGACCTACCGGATTGAGAAGATTCAGATTTGCTTTTTTTCTTGTCCTCTAAAGGTGTCTGCTGACTTTGGTGGAATGTAGTGGAACTTTTCAGATGGTGTTTTGGGCTATCAGGAAGGATATTGGATATGAGTGTTTCGGTCTCGCTTGCGGTATCTTGAATCTTTTCACAAATCCAAACCTGTTCCCTTGAATGTACAGTCCTGGAAGATTCTGTGATGTTGCTGGTCTCAATTGTCTTTCTGGTTTTTGCTGCTCGGTTGGTCATTCTTTTGGTGGATGGTCTGGAAAGATGTTTTGGTTAGAATCCTGATTATCCCAAAACCAAGGCTTTGCCCTGAAAGAAGCTTTATACTTTAACTTCTAAGAAATCCCTTGGAAATAAATGAACTTTCTGAATCATAAGACTGAAGTCTGGAAAGTGCCCTGAAGATTACAGAACACACTGGCTTCCAAATTGTGTCCTACAAAGTCCTAGGATCCATGGACACGCTGAGGTGCTAGGAGCAGCTAAGGGTGAAGGCTCCAGGAACCCTGTCCCTACTTCAAGCTGACCTGGGACATGGCCAATAAGGTGAAGTAAGGACTAACGTGGGTTTTCTAGCTTCAGTGCTCTTTCCAAACCATCACTAAGCTCTTAGTGGAGTGTTTCCATGCGCCTTGTAGGTTAAGGTTTTTCAGGCAATCACCCAAAGAGCCTTCCTTTCTAAGACTCTTCCCCTTCT